GCTTTTCGTTTACTGCAGTCATACTCTGGTTAAATGCCTACCGACTATATATTTTATAGAAATAAATAATCTATAATTTTGGTTTTTTACAAATATTCTATCCTGATAAATCATATATCAATAATATACTGTATATACTGTATATTTGAGCAAGATATGTAATATATTACATGATTTATTTTAATGCAGTATCACACCATTTTAAGCATCATGTGCATTTAACATTATAATTTATTATAATACATACGTACTGTACATAAGCCTACGTTGTATAAATAATTTTGATAATACCGGTTTATTTTATTATTGGATATTGTCTTTTACATCTGTCCTGTATATTTGTGAAATATAATAGCATATATATAAATATTATCACTAGTGATTTACGGTTTGGTCAAAAGCCTTCTTTTGTATTTTAATAGAAAAATATCGAATTACATCTTTTAAGCGAATTGTGATTTTAATTGTAATTACCTTAAAGTCATGGCTTTGGCTTATAAAAAATATTGGTGTTATTTTTGCAAAGAAATGGGTCATACATATGCCAATTGTTTTTCGAAAAAATCAGTAAATAAAAAATCCGAACATTTACTTTCTCAAAGAGCATTGGAGCTTTATAAGGTAAGTTATATATCGAAAGAATTATGGCAGGTAGCATAAAAGTCACACCTTATGTAATCACGTGGTTAAAAATATTTTTTAGCAATTACTCCCCACAGAGGAAAATAATGCAAAAAGACACAAATTAGTTGTGAAGATCAAGAGTATTTTAAACGAAGAAGTTAATTTGTTTGGGTAATAAGCTTTTTTGTTATGTATAGTAGTAAAAAATACATTTTTGATTAAAGTATCCTCTTATCTAGATCTTCTGCGAATCTTCTTGGAACGTTAACTTCTGATATTGATATATGTGTTTCGACACCAAGTAGAGAATTAGAAAATGTATTTACATTGTCTGAAATATTACAAAAACGTGTGTAAATCATATTTATTAATTGTGTTAAAGGAAATTAATAAGTTCATTAATCTTTTGGATGTTAAAAAATAGATAACATGGAAATAATTGAGTGCGTTTCAGATGCCAAAGTGCCTATTGTTAAGTTTTGGGATCCTAATTTGTATGTAAATTTTTTTGTACTGTATTTATTATATTGTCGATTTGAGCTTAATTTTCAATTTTTAAATCGCAGAAAATTAGTATGCGATGTTAATGTTAATAATAGCATTGGAATATATAATACGCAACTAATAAAGAGTTATGTTGAAATTGATCAAAGAATTCAGCCTTTGGTAATGATTATGAAACATTGGGCTCAACAACGAGGTTTAAATAATGCTGGTACGTATGTTGTTGATTACAAAATATATGATTAAATATTAATATAATACTGTACTATAAGCTCGTGGAACTTTATCTTCATACACTTGGGTGTGCATGGTCTTGAATTTCTTACAAATGCATGATCCACCCGTATTACCAGTGCTTCAAATTCCCGATATTCCTTTAAATAATGATATTAATTTATTCAAAGGATTTGGTAACAAGAATCATGAATCAATTGGTGAACTATTATTTGCGTTTTTTAAATGGTAGGTTATATATGTAATTTCTATAATTATTGTTTCTGCTGTCTTATCAAGGCTGATAGAATCGGCTGATGCTGAAATTTAAATCTATTTTAATATGAAATTATAAAAATTTGGGCATTCTTTTTTATGTCAGATTAGAGTTTAATAAAATGACTTGGTAAGTTTATGTTTTAAATAGAGATTCCAAGCTTCAGCATCAGCAACAACTACAACAATTGCATGGCTTTTGAAAAACTAAAATTTATCACTTTGTCTAGTTTTGCTTATGAATTTGATTATAGGAGCAAAGTCATATCCCTTCGACAAGGAAAATTCCTTACCAAGCGAGAAAAAAGGTGGGGCCATTGGAAACTATGCATAGAAGAACCTTTTAGCACGTCAAGAAATCTCGGAAATGGTATAAATCGTGTTAGCTTTAAAAGGATTATTAATGAATTTCGTAGAGCTTTTAGAATTCTCTACCTATCTGCTGACCTTAACTACTGTTGTAAACTTACATGGCGAACGCCATTAGACGATATTTATGATCAGTGTAAACATATAGATGGATCTTTGTTAATTACTTCGGAAGTTTAGAAAAAACAAAATCATATCTAGAATTAAAGCATCGAATTTTGTGTTTAGATAATTTAGATTTAGAACTAGAAAATCGAAATTTGGGTTAAATTTTGTTTTTTTATTGAGACGTGTAAATTTTAAATTATAATAAACTCGAAGATTAAAAATTTTAATTAAAGAATTAACTGGGTAAAAAATATTTTACTATATATACTGTTCAGATAAGATTTCAAGAATTTATAAATTACAGTAAAACCTCTAAAAGTGCACCCTCTATACTCTCTAAATGCACGCTTAAATTTGGGCATAAATATATACATGACCTCTATAAATGTACTTTTTCTTATTGTTCTCTAAGTGCACGTCGTTAAAGTTCGGTCACGAGAGCGTGCACTTATTGAGGTTTTACTGTATTTGTAGTTCTTTAAAATATAGAAAATATCTTTTAATGACGATGATGGGCCATCATGCGAATTCAAACTCCTGTTCAGGCCGCACAGAGTGTTCAATGCTGTAACTGTGGAGTTTGTCATGTGACTCAAGTCTTGACGAGTTATCACAATCAATTAGAATAAAAATTTTATAAAAAAAAAACTTTTTCAAGTTCATTTTTCTCTCAAATATTTTAGCGTACAAATATGTACGCTAAAGCGGATGGTTTAAGAGATAAGTTTTAATTTATAAGAATCATGCTTAATGACAGTAATTGTCAAATGTGTATCTAGTTAAATTTAATAAAAAAAATAATATCTTTAATCTTAACAGTTTCTTAATACTGTAATATATATAACTAATAATAATCTTTGCATCAGGCCTTTAATGAGTATTAGTGTAATAAGAAGAATCAGTGAAATAATGGGTATAATTAGTATAATTAGTATAATTAATATAATTAATATGCACAATATATTACAGATAGGATATATAATGGGTCCTAAGTAAATAAATATATATAATAAAGATGTTTCGCCCTAGAGAAAAGGAAGTGTTCATGAATCCAAAAAAAATTCATATCCTAATAATTCCATACTTCTGTATACACTATAATAAAATACTTACCTCTTGATCTACTGCTTGAGTGGTATAAGTGGTATGATTACCATCTTGGTTTCTTGCTTACATGATAACTGTAAATTGTACCATTACGCTATCCAGTTGATTCTCGACGTATTGAGGATTGTCGTGGTTATTGTTTTTCCAACTCTCCCAACATACTGTGAATAGTTGAGGTTGTTGACTTATTCCAGTTTGAGGTCTAAGTGAAAGATCCAATCCGTGGTTTAGTTATAATGATAGAAAAATAAATACAAGTGTTAGTGTTAGTGGTGTGAAAGAACTGATACAAGTAAAGCTGACATACCTACAACTGTAAATCCCACTCACCAAATAAAACCGCCTCTTTCGACTAAGCCTTTCATAGGTTACAAAACATTCCAAATTCTGGAGTGACTGACTCGCTGTTTAACGTTAGCAATATAAATGCATTTTAGCCAATCAGAATGCGTTATATAGTAATTCTGATTGGATAAAAAAAAAAATTTAAAGAAAAATTTTAAAAATTTTCATATTTAAACGCCAAAATTTTGAAAACATAATAGCTTTAAACACTTATAACTTTAAATTTTAAACTTTTTTAAAATTCTAACCGATAATTTGAACAGAACTGATGAAAAATAATAGTTTTTATCTGTTACATTTCTAAAGAATATTTAAAACTAGATTTTTTAAAAAACATATGATTTTGATGAGAAGTGACTTGGAGCACCATAGAAATATATATAGATTTATATAAATAACTATATAAAATCTACATTTGGTTTATAAGTTTAAATAAAAATTCTACATAAATTCATGTAAAAATTTTACATAAATCTATATAAAAAAGTATTTGTGATGAATAATACACCAATGCGACAATGAAGCTGTAAATGGATACATTAAATTAAAACCGAAGAATATTTATAGCAGGCAATTATCACACAATTACAAATCGTAAACAATAATACACCAATGCTACAATGAAGCCTTAACGGATACATTAAAATTTAAACCCAAGAATATTTATAGCATTCAATCAAAGAATTTGCAGTATCACAAAAACTGCTAGGAGGCTAATGCATTGTATTATGTGTCCGGAGCACACGATAATCATCATATAACATAAACGCGTGAGTGTTCATATTTTGTTACACTTAAAACACAAATATAGACACGCGTGACTGACAGAAGTTTCCAAATTACATTTCTGATGTACTCTTCATAATGTTTTTGCAGATGTATCAAAAAGGTAACCATAAATCTATCTAACTACACAGTTTTTAGTCAGCTGGGATAACAAACAAATGTCGATGCCAAATTAAGTTCTGGATAATAAACAAAATCGATTCCACTAATCTGTTATTTATAGAATATGTAAGATCAAATAGTAATTACGATTTTTACGAAAGTGTGCAGCACTTTTAGTTATCTATTTGTAATACAATGAAGAATGCAATAATTATAAATTGAATGATTTATCGGAAATCAACATTTTACCTGAATAATTAATAAAATTGTAGTTATTCAGTAAGATAGATTAGTCACATCTCCAGTACGCAATTAAAAAAAAACGAAACTTGCCCTTTACTCTTTTTTTATTCTTAATGGATGAAAATCGCATATTCAATATAAATGTTCAAAATGAACCCTTTCTGACTAAAAAAAAGGCTGTAAATTTATATAACTTATCTTATGGATTTAAAATAATATGGTGAGCCTAAAAGAGCCAAAATAAGTGCATTTACAATATTTATTGAGGGCCTTCACATCATTGATGTTAGATCCATATTTTAATAAAATCTCAATAGTCTTCACATAACCATTTAATGCAGCCTCACATAATAATGTTGAGCCATAAGCAGTATTAAGCACTTTCATGCAAAGTTCATCATCTAAAATATTGAATATTGGAAGTATGTTATCATATTCAATAATTTTCCAAGTTGTGTAATTGTTTAAGGAGTCTAACCAGGGCTTTACGTGATCCACTAAAAACTTATTTTTTACACCACCATATACTTTTCCATATACTTTGCATAAATTTTCATCTATCCCTAAAACATTTAGGAATGCTTCTTTATGCCGTGAAGTTTCTTTATTGTATTTTAGTATTTTGATAGAATATGGTACTAGTGTTAATGATAATATTAATACATCATTTCTTGCAGCTAAATGTAATATTGTATAACCAAAATTATTAATTGCATTGATATCAGCTCCGTGTTCTAACAAAATCTTAAAACTCTCCATGTGACCATTTCTTGCAGCCCGGTATAGTGCCGTATGACCATTTTCTGAAGCCAGGACTAATGATATAGAACTATAATTATCATTAATAGTATTAATATTAACATCATGTTTTATCAATATCTTAACAATTTCTATGTGACCATTCCTTGCAGCCATATGTAATGCTGTACAACTATTACTATTGATAAAATTGACATTAGCTCTATGTTTTATTAAAGCTTTAACAACCTCTATATTGCCATTCTCTGCAGCCCAGTGCAATACTGTTTGACCATGATTATTGATAGCATCGACATTAGCCCCATGTTCTATTAAAGTCTTAACAATCCTTACATAACTATTTTCTGCAGCCCAGCGTAATACTGTTTGATTATTATGATCAACAGCATCGACGTTGGCACCATATTTTATCAAAGTATTAACAACCTCGACGTAACCACTCTTTGCAGCCCAGTATAATAATGTATTAATATTATCATTAACACTAGTACCATATTCTATCAAAATCCTAATAACTTCTGTGTGATCTTTTACATTAATAGCATTGATGTTAGATCCATATTTTAATAAAATCTCAATAGTCTTCACATAACCATTTAATGCAGCCTCACATAATAAT